GCAAGGGCAGGAAGGTAGAGAATTCGAGGGGGAGCGAAGGAGGATGTAGGGCGAAGGACGGGGGGGGGAGGCGGAAGGCGAGGAGACGGGAGGCGAAGAGGAGAGCCCTTTCAAAAAATTAGAGCCACCGAGCTCCTCATTAGCCGCCCCCCCCCCACCCAAGTGATTCCAGCGCGGGTCAGGCCAGACTGACGGGCCAAGCTGAGCTGAGCGCGAGGTCGTGCCGCCACCTGTCACACTCCGTGCGGGGGAAGCCAAAAGGTACCAATACTGCTACTCCCTGGACCGCTCCTGGGGAGCGCTCTGATAAGGGGTTCGAGGCGAATCCAGCGGAGGCGACGAGGGCCTCCCAGTAGGCCCCCAAAAGGGGAGAACGAGGGAAGAGGAGCGATGTGGGTACCTTCGCCTACTCCGAGTGTGTCCGAGGCAGCCATATGGTCGAGGAAAGATGCCCACGAGAAAGTCCACAGAACGCCCGACGCCAAGGATCAAGCAAGTCCAGTGCTTCGCAAGTCGCAAGTCCTCCTCAAAACCTCAACGACGCGGACTGGTTTCCCCTGACACTGAGTGGGGCCCTCGAGTCCCAGGCCCCACAACGCCAGGTGGGACCCGCGCAGACAAAGACCTGTCCTCCTCTCATCAGTCTGGCAACAGGGTAAGTGCGGGCGTCGGTGCCAGCAGTAGCACAGCTTTCGATTTGTCCTCCTCCTCCACCTCCTCCTCGTGCTCTAGAAGCCACCCAAATGAGGTCGAGTAGATAGGTCGGAGGATCGTCGATGCATCCCCGATGCATCGGGTATATATCGGCGACGTCGACGATGCACCGCATCGAGCCGCATCGCTGGTGCATCGGCGATGCGGCGCGATATCCCGACCCCATCTACTCGAACCCCATCTGGGAGGCCTAGACCCCCAGGCATGCGATGTCCTGATGTGTCCCGACCCTCCTGTGTTGAATGGTCGTTTTGAATGGAGCACTGTGGTCCCCGCTCCTCCTCCGTTCCGCATCCTCCTCCTCCTACACGGCGGAAGTGAAGTCCACGCAGATCCATTTGAGACCTCGCGGCTCCCACGGGGGTTGCAAACTACAGATGTGTCGCCACTTTCGTGGGCTCATGGGAGGCACGGCGGAGGTGAGGGCCACGACAATCAATGTGAGACCTCGCGGCTCCCTCGGTGGCTGCGAAGCGTACAACTGTCGCCACTTATGTGGGCTCCTCGGGGGCACGGCGGAGGTGAGGGCCACGCAGATCCATTTGAGGCCTCGCAGCTCCCTCGGGAGCTGCGAAGTGCGCAACCGTCGCCACTGTGGTTGGCTCATGGAAGGTACGGCGGAAGTTGAGGACCACACAGATCCATATGAGACCTCGCGGCTCCGTCGGGGGTTGCGAACTGCGCAACTGTCGCCACTTGCGTGGGCTCCTGGGAGGCACGGGCCCAGGGGGCTACGTTGGGGGCTTAGAAGTGCGCAACTGTCGCCATTTTCGCTGGCTCCTGGGAAGCACGGCGGAGGTAAGGGCCACGCAGATCCATTTGAGACCTCGCGGCTCCCTCGGATGCAGCGAACTGCGAAACTGTCGCCACTTCCGTGGGCTCCTGGGAGGCATGGCGGAGTACATGACCACGCAGATCCATTTGAGGCCTCGCAGCTCCCTCGGGAGCTGCGAAGTGTGCAACTGTCGCCACTTTCGTGGGAGGAATGGCCGAGTACATGACCACACAGGTCCATTTGAGGCCTCGCAGCTCCCTCGGGAGCTACGAGGTGTGCAATTGTCGCCACTGCCATGCACTTATGGGAGGCACGGCGGAGGTGAGGGCCACGCAGATCCATCTGAGACCTCGCAAGCTCCGCCAGGGGCTGCGAAGCGCAAACTGTCGCCACGTTCGTGGGCTCCTGGGATACTAGATGGAGGTGAGGGCCATGCAGATCCATTTGAGACCTCCCAGCTCCGTCGGGGGCTGAGAACTGCGCAAATGTTGCCACTGTCGTGCACTCCTGGAAGGTACGGCGGAAGTTGAGGACCACACAGATCCATCTGAGACCTCGCGGCTCTGTCGGGGGTTGCGAACTGCGCCATTGTCGCCACTTGCGTGGGCTCCTGAAAGTACGGCGGAAGTTGAGGGCCACGCAGATCCATCTCAGACCTCGCTGCTCCGTCGGGGTTGCGAACTGCGCAAATGTCGCTACTTGCGTGGGCTCCTGGAAGGTACGGCGGAAGTTGAGGACCACACAGATCCATCTGAGAACTCGCGGCTCCGTCGGGGGTTGCGAACTGCGCAACTGTCGCCACTTGCGTGGGCTCCTGAGAGGCACGGCGGATGCGAGGGCAGCGCGGATCCAGGCGAGACCTCGCAGCTCCGTCGGGGGCTGCGAACTGCGCAACCGTCGCCACTGTCGTGGGCTCCTGGTGGGGCACGGCGGAGTACAAGGCAACGCGGATCCAGGCAAGATCTCGCGGCTCCGTCAGGGGCTGCAAGTTGTGCAACTGTCGCCACTTTGGTGGGCTCCTGGGGGGGGGGGCACGGCGGAGTGCATGACAGCGCAGATCGTGCATGTGTGGCCATGTGTTCTCTTTGTATGGAACACTCATATATCGGGGGCGCGCAAGCACGGATTAGGGATCCATGGATTTGGCGCGCGGTCGCCAAATCCATGGATCGGGGGACTTGCCCTCCCCAAAATGCGGCCGGTGCCGCCTCGCTCGGCGGCAATAATCCGCGACTTCCCATGGAAACGGGACCCGTCGCTAATCCACGCCCCTCTTAATCCATGTTTGCGATCGCCTGAATATCAACACGGGTACGGGGTCGGGTACGTGTCTCGGGGAACTGCAATACGCGGTCCCCCGAAGCCCTGGGGCCCCAGCACGGGCCCTGGAGGGCCGAGAGCGGTTCTTGTTTCACGACGCGGGCACGTCTGGGTCCTCGCCCTCCTCGGCCCTCCCTCCTCGCGGGGAGGGGGGAGGGAATGGGATGGCATTGAATGCACATCACATATAAGGAAGAACGCACGGCTCGGAACAATCTCAGCTCAACCTGAAATGCAGGTCAGGGACGGCGGGGGTGCACCATGGAAGAAGTCCCAGGTCGGCGGTTGCTCGAGGTGCCCCTGGCCCCAGGCGCCCCCAGCGGCTCGCTCCATTTAGGCCCCCCTGGGGCCCTCTGGGCCTCGTGAGGGGTTCTCTGGAGTCCGTGGGGGCCTCTTTGGAGAGCCTGGGGGCACCTTGGGCCAGGGGCACTTCTGGGAGCACCCGACCAGGAGCACCCGCAAAACTGTCCCTTGGATCAGGCCTCTCGGGTGGGGAGGAGCGGCGGCGGGCGAGGGTGGGAAGTGAGAGGGACAAGGCCTTCTCAGAAGGCGGCGGGGCTTCTCAGAAGCCCTCGCGCCGTCCGAGAGGTGCTCCGGGTCTTCGGGGAAAGCTTGAAAGACCGCCCGAGAACTTCCGAGCCCTCTGAGAAGGCCCGCCCCGCCTCACTTCCCCCCAGGGCTCGCCGCGCTGAGAAAAGGCAGGGGGGGGGAGGGCTCGGCGCAGGGAGGGCGAGCGGCCCGAGCGGCGGGGCGCTCGGACAAAAAGCGGCTGCGCGGCGGGCCCTCGCGCTCGCGCCCCCCCCCCCACACACACACCCTCCCCCTCACGCCGCGAGCCCGCCGACGAGGAGCGAGGGCGGCGGAGGGAGGGCGGCGGAGCGAGGGCGGCGGAGCGAGGGCGGCGGAGCGAGGGCGGGACCGCGCGTCTGGACTGCGCGCTGCAGGGGAGCCCCCCTCGGGGCAGGTCCACCCCGCGGGAGGGTGCGGGAGGACGTCCTTGTGAGGACGCGCTCCAGGCAAGGTCGAGGGGAGAGGTCTCGAGGGGAGAATTTTCGAGAGGAGAGTGGTCGAGGGGACCACCACCGAGTCCTTCGAGGGGGGACTTGCCGAAGGAAGGGGGGAGAACGCGCCGAAATCCCTGGCATGGGGGACCTGACCTCGAGTCTGAACGCCACTCGCGGCCGCTTCTGCTTCCGCATCGCCACATCGTCCCCTCCCCCAACGCTTGCTCTCCAAGCCCCACCTGGCATTGATCCCTCGCCCGGCATCTCCTCGACCCTCCGCCGAAGCGTGCGACCAACTTTTCGGAGGGTGGGGAGGGGCGGGGCCGAGACAGTCCCTGACGGCCGCGCCCCGCCACAGATCTGAAGACCTGGTGCTTTTCGCACGGCACGGCTTCCTGCAGCCTGCGCCGCAGTCTGAAAAGCGTTCGTGCTGTCGGCGGCACTGACACCCAGCGGTTAGGAGGCAACTACTGGGAGGTCTCCGTCGGAAGGATTAAAGAGGATTAAGCCCCATTGGGGGGCTGTTACGCCGGAGTGGGCCTCGGATGAAGCGGGATTAAATCAGATTAAGCGGGATTCATCGGGATCAAGCCGGATTAAGCGGGATTAATTCGGATTAAGACGGATTTCGGACCAGGACAGAATCAGAATTTGACCTCCCAGGAGTTGCATCTGAACCCAGCGGGATGCCAACAGACCACGCGGTGTTCCACGTCTTCTGAGGCCATCTTCAGAATCCCTCCAGCCACTGCGCAGGCCGGCGCTACCCCAGGTCCACGGAGAAGGGCAGGCGGGGGCAGGCAGGAAGGGAAACAGGAACGGTACGAGCGTAGAGGGAGGGAGGCAGAGGATGAGCCACCCAGGCAGGAACGCGAAGGCATCCCTCGAACACCACCTCCTGCTTACTCGAGTACCCGGGACACTCCGAAGCAACAGCAACACAGCCAAACAAAATTCAAGCCACGACAACAAAACTGCAGCGGCTGTGAGCAACGGAAGGCAATCGGCGGCGACGATAGGGGCGAATAGCCCAGGGGCCAGGAGCGGGCCTTACACGCATTCGCCTGGGAGCCTTGTCGAAGACAGAGATCATCGGCACCCCTGGACACATGTATTGCTCCCCCCTGGGCTATTCGCCCCTATCGGCGCCTCCGAGGCAAAGGATCAAACTCGCGAACAAAAGCACGTTTCTGCCTGCGCGGGTGCGCGCCGCAGGGATTTTATAAGGCCTCCTCCAGCGGCGCGGCGGACGCTGGCGGACCTCGGCCCAGCCCCCTAGCAGAGGAGAAAACGAGGAGACACGAGATCGCCCCTGCTCCCTCGAAGAGGACGAGGAGGACCAGGGGGGAAGAAGATGACTTCCACTGGCGGCGAGCGCGGGGGGGAGGTGATGAGAGGCGGGCCTTCTCAGAAGGCTCGGGAGTCCCACAGCCTTCTGAGAAGTTTTCTGAGCCTTCATCGAAGACACAAAAAAAAACTCTCAGAAGGCGCGAGGACTTCTGAGAAGTACCACCGCCTTCTGAGAAGGCCTTTCATCTTCCCACTTCCCCCCCTCGCTCGCCGCCGATTCCATCAGGCACAGGGGCCCTGACGGAAAAGAGCCCTGAGGACTTTCGCCATTGTCGGGCGTCTCGGGCCCGGTACCGTCCACAAACAGCCTGGGAAGAAAAACACACGAGTGTCGCGGGAACACCATGGAGTCCAGGACCCCGTTCCTCATGGCCAGTGGAGGAGCGGGGGGGGAAGGGGAGGTGGAGCAGGAGGCGTTCATCATCTCAGCGATAGTACCTGCGAAATCGGAAGCATGGACGTAAGAGCAAGCGCTGGTGCAGTACGTGCTCGTCCCCGACGCTGTGCAGTCGCACGCGACAATCTAATTTCGTGCGTGCTATCTCTGGTAACCTTGCGCTGATAACGGTAAGATAAGTGTATCGACTGTACGATTTGGGGATATACAGTCCATGTCATGCGTCCACTGTGATGTATTGCGCCAGTAATTCCTGCGTGGGTAGCCCATGACGCCCATTCGTGGCTTCAAACACGTCAGCGAGGGACAAATGATCTCTGCGCCCACCCCTGGCTCACAAAGAGTTCACCACATGTCTCGCGCCACCCCTATCGGCGATATGCTGCGTTCTGGGGAGGGTATCATCACTGGTGCTGGGCACATGCTCACTAATGCGGCGAGGACGAGCTTCGATGTAGTTTGACGCCTACATCGCGGCCCAGCAGCAGCTACCCCCTAGCAGCTCCTCGTTGTGGGATGCTTGGCGGCGCCTCCTTCTTCTCGTCCTCAACCTGTGCCCTCCTAGCTTTTATCCTTTTCATCCGCGTGACGCTGAACGAGGTCCAAGTCAAACCCCTCCTCCTCCTCCTCCTCCTCCTCCTCCTCCTCCTCCTCCTCCTCCTCCTCCTCCCAGCGATGAGGTGGGCGGAAAGGTCCCCGCCCGCCGATGAAGACCTTACCCTGCATGCCGCGGCCCTGCCCAGCGGCGGCGGTGGCGTAGCCTCTGGGCGTGGCGGGAGCGGGGGAGGAGAAGCCCCTCCATATGTCCCCACCCCGGGGTGCCCTCCCCCAGTGCCTCTCCATCTCGTCTTCCATGCGACCCCTCGTGCGCATCCTCCCCTTCCTCCTCCCATACACTCCCGCTCCTGCAGTCCTCCAAACAAGCGATTGCGCAGTCTAGAGTCAACCACGTCGCATCAAACTGTTCGACGCGGAGATCCCCATATTCTGTGCATCTCGCTCCCTAGCACTTTCCGCTGTGAGTGCCTCCTGGCTGTGAGTGTCTGGGTGTGGGGGTGAGTCCACGTGGGCGACGACGACGACCGACCGACGACGACGACGGCGGAGACGACGACGACGACGACCAAGGCGATAGCTACGACGAGGGACGACGTCGACTACGACGACGACGACAACGACGACGACGACTCACAGAGAGACAAGCGGTGAACAGGCACCCAAACAAACAAACAGGCAAACAGGCAACAAAGGACCTTGGGCACCCAAACAGGCAAACCGCCTGAGACACCCCCACAATCTAGGCGCGAACGGGCCGGGCCTGTGCAATCTTGGCGGCTTCCGATGTCGGTGGGGTCTTGATTGACGTCCTCGCGCAGCACGTCGGAGCCAGCTGGCGGAGCAGGAGGCCGGTATCTGCCCCTGGGGCGACCTCTAGAGGAGCCGCTCCCCATTCCACACTACTCATCCCCTCCCTGCTCCCGCTCCCCTATGCCAACCTCCTGATGGGGCCCACAGAACATGCGCCCGCGAGAGGGCACACCGTATCCTCCTTGTCCTCGTCCCCGTCCTCCTCCTCCGCCTCTTCCTCGCTCCTCCTCGCTCCTCCTCCTCCTCCTCGCTCCTCGCTTCTCCCTCCTCCTCCTCCTCCTCCGCCTCCTCCTCCTCCTCCTCTTCCTCCTCCGCCTCCGCCTCCTCCTCCTCCTCCTCCTCCTCCACCTCCTCCTCCTCGCTCCTCGTTCCTCCTCCTTCTCCTGCTCCTCCTCCGCCTCCTCCTCCTCCGCCTCCTTCGCCTCCTCCTCCTCCTCCTCCTCCTCATCCTCCTCCGCCTCGCTCCTCCCTCCTCCTCTCCTCGCTCCTCGCTCCTCGCTCCTCCTCTTCCGCCTCCTCCTCCGCCTCTTCCTCCTCCCTCCTCCTCCTCCTCCTCCTCCTCCTCCCCTCCTCCTCCTCCTCTCCTCCGCCTCCTCCTCCCTCCTCCTCCTCCTCCTCCTCGCTCCTCCTCCTCCTCCTCCTCCTCCTCCTCCTCCTCCTCGCTCCTCGCTCCTCGCTCCTCGCTCCTCACCCCTCGTTCCTCACCCCTCCTCCTCTTCCTCCTCCTCCTCCTCCTCCTCAACCTTCTCCCCGTGCCGAAGGTTCCCGCAGCTTGTGGGGTTCGAGCTTGTGAGGGACGCACGGGGCGCTGGTAAGATAGTGCGATTTTTGCACTTTCGATGAGCACCCTCACGAGCACCCCGCAGGTTAGGGAACCGGGGCGACACCAGCAATCCATCTTTCTGGCTGTCGGTGGGTGTGCCTTCCACCTGGTCTGCCCGCGGGCAGCGAGTTGCATTCCCATTCGTTTATGGCTGTCGGTGGGGTGCCATCCACCTTGTCAAAGGCCCCTTAAAGGGGGCGGAGGGGGATGTGGGACCCAGGCCCCGTCGCGTCGTTGTCCATGGCTGTCGGTGGGTGGGCCTTCCACCGTTCTGGACCCGGGAGGGACTCCACGCGTGGGGCGCCCGGGGCGGTGCTCGGGGAGGTGCCCAAGGGTGCACCCACTGTGGTGCCCAAGGTGGTGCACAGGCCCATTGGGGGGGGACCCTAGGTGGCGCCCGAGGTACCCAGGGAGGTACCCGAGGTGCCCGTTGGTTTCATGCACATGCTTATTGGGCGGAGTACCCGTGGCACCCATGGAGGCACCCGAGGTACCCAGGGAGGTACCCGAGGTGCCCAAATTGACGCCATGCACATGCTTATAGGGAGGGGTACCCGAGGGACCCAAGGAGGCACCCGAGGTACCCAGGGAGGTACCCGAGGTGCCCAATGGCTGTCATGCACATGCTTAGTTGTCATGCACATGCTTATTGGGAGTGGTACCCGAGGTACCCAAGGAGGCACCCGAGGTACCCAGGGAGGTACCCGAGGTGCCCAAGTGTTGTCATGCACATGCTTATTGGGAGGGGTACCCGAGGGACCCAATACCCAAGGTGCTCAATAGTTGTCATGCACATGCTTATTGGGAGTGGTACCCGAGGTACCCAAGGAGGCACCCGAGGTACCCAGGGAGGTACCCGAGGTGCCCAATTGTTGTCATGCACATGCTTATTGGGAGGGGTACCCGAGGGACCCAAGGAGGCACCCGAGGTACCCAGGGAGGTACCCGAGGTGCCCAATGGCTGTCATGCACATGCTTAGTTGTCATGCACATGCTTATTGGGAGTGGTACCCGAGGTACCCAAGGAGGCACCCGAGGTACCCAGGGAGGTACCCGAGGTGCCCAAGTGCTGTCATGCACATGCTTATTGGGAGGGGTACCCGAGGGACCCAATACCCAAGGTGCTCAATAGTTGTCATGCACATGCTTATTGGGAGTGGTACCCGAGGTACCCAAGGAGGCACCCGAGGTACCCAGGGAGGTACCCGAGGTGCCCAAGTGTTGTCATGCACATGCTTATTGGGAGGGGTACCCGAGGGACCCAATACCCAAGGTGCTCAATAGTTGTCATGCACATGCTTATTGGGAGTGGTACCCGAGGTACCCAAGGAGGCACCCGAGGTACCCAGGGAGGTACCCGAGGTGCCCAATTGTTGTCATGCACATGCTTATTGGGAGGGGTACCCGAGGGACCCAAGGAGGCACCCGAGGTACCCAGGGAGGTACCCGAGGTGCCCAATGGCTGTCATGCACATGCTTAGTTGTCATGCACATGCTTATTGGGAGTGGTACCCGAGGTACCCAAGGAGGCACCCGAGGTACCCAGGGAGGTACCCGAGGTGCCCAAGTGTTGTCATGCACATGCTTATTGGGAGGGGTACCCGAGGGACCCAATACCCAAGGTGCTCAATAGTTGTCATGCACATGCTTATTGGGAGTGGTACCCGAGGTACCCAAGGAGGCACCCGAGGTACCCAGGGAGGTACCCGAGGTGCCCAAGTGTTGTCATGCACATGCTTATTGGGAGGGGTACCCGAGGGACCCAATACCCAAGGTGCTCAATAGTTGTCATGCACATGCTTATTGGGAGTGGTACCCGAGGTACCCAAGGAGGCACCCGAGGTACCCAGGGAGGTACCCGAGGTGCCCAATTGTTGTCATGCACATGCTTATTGGGAGGGGTACCCGAGGGACCCAAGGAGGCACCCGAGGTACCCAGGGAGGTACCCGAGGTGCCCAATGGCTGTCATGCACATGCTTAGTTGTCATGCACATGCTTATTGGGAGTGGTACCCGAGGTACCCAAGGAGGCACCCGAGGTACCCAGGGAGGTACCCGAGGTGCCCAAGTGTTGTCATGCACATGCTTATTGGGAGGGGTACCCGAGGGACCCAATACCCAAGGTGCTCAATAGTTGTCATGCACATGCTTATTGGGAGTGGTACCCGAGGTACCCAAGGAGGCACCCGAGGTACCCAGGGAGGTACCCGAGGTGCCCAATTGTTGTCATGCACATGCTTATTGGGAGGGGTACCCGAGGGACCCAAGGAGGCACCCGAGGTACCCAGGGAGGTACCCGAGGTGCCCAATGGCTGTCATGCACATGCTTAGTTGTCATGCACATGCTTATTGGGAGTGGTACCCGAGGTACCCAAGGAGGCACCCGAGGTACCCAGGGAGGTACCCGAGGTGCCCAAGTGTTGTCATGCACATGCTTATTGGGAGGGGTACCCGAGGGACCCAATACCCAAGGTGCTCAATAGTTGTCATGCACATGCTTATTGGGAGTGGTACCCGAGGTACCCAAGGAGGCACCCGAGGTACCCAGGGAGGTACCCGAGGTGCCCAATTGTTGTCATGCACATGCTTATTGGGAGGGGTACCCGAGGGACCCAAGGAGGCACCCGAGGTACCCAGGGAGGTACCCGAGGTGCCCAATTGTTGTCCGGCTGCCGGCGACCGGCGACCGGCGACCGGCTGGCCGGCGACCAGCGTCCGGCGCCCGGCGACCGGCGGCCCCATGCGGGGGACCGGCTTCCTCCTCCTCCTCCTCCTCCTTTCGGGTCGTCCGTCGGCCTGTCGGCCGCGCTTCGGCGCATGCACCCTTACCCTTACCCTTACCCTCCTCAACCTTCTCCTCCCTTCCAAAACCGCCCTCCCCCGAGAGAGCGGCCCTGGCCTGCGGCGGCCCGCCAAGCCCCAGGCGGCTTGGCCGCTGGGACCGCCAGGGAGCCGCCCGCCCGCCTGGGCGGTGCCGCGAGCGCGTCACTTCTTCACGCGCGGGAGGGCACGCTCCAAAGACTTCCGCGCCTGCTCTGCGAACTTGCAGGTGTCGGGGTGGAACCACCTGGGCGCCGCCTCAATCAGCATCTCGGGGGCGACCGCCGTGACGTTGCGCATGTAGCACCTATCTGTGACCACGGTCTCGTTGTAAAGTACCCACTCTGGCTTGTGCTGCAGGAAAGATGCTGGATGAATATTAACAGCCTGCTGGTCGCGCACGGTGATGTAGTGCTTGCCACCAGACTCGATGTAGGCTGTCTGCATGAAGAACCCCTCGACGAGGCTCTTGCGGACGGCCAGCGTGAGCGAACCGCCATCTGGTGCGGCCGCCTTTCTCGTCAAACCCCGCTTCTGGCAGATGCCTCGCAACTGTCTGGCAATGTTCTCTGCCTGCTTCATCGACCGCTCTGAAAGGTAGTGTTCCTGGCAGAAGTCCTTCTGTGACTCCGCCGACCCGAATCTGCAGAAGGTGCCCAGCAAGGACAGATGGTCCCCCAGCCCCGAGGCGAACACCCTGTGCGCCTTGTCGGCGGCCTTGGGGTTCCAACGCGGCCGCTGGAAGGGCGGCGGCACCGACAGCATCGCTATAATCGCGAGGGTCTCCTCGATGCACCCTCGGCAGCCAGCGGCTATGAGAGACCTGCTCAAGTGCGGGTCCACCGGAAACTCAGCCATGTGAGTCCCGATCTCGGTGAGCTCGCACTCGTCGTCCACGGCCCCCAGGAAGTGCAGCATCTCCAGAGCCCTCATCATGGACTCTGGCGAGGGCGGCTCCATGAAGTCAAAGTGCACCAAGTCCTCCACGCCCAGCTTCTTGAGAGTAATCACCACCGAGCTGAGATTGCTCCGCAGGATCTCGGGGTGAGTGCTCTCGGGCAGCTCGGTCTCGAAGGCATCCTTGGTGTACAGGCGGAAACACTTCCCGGGCCGCGTGCGCCCTGCTCGGCCGGCCCTCTGCATGGCGCTGGCCTTGGAGATGGGCGACACGAGCAGCGACTCGACGTGCGTGCGCGGGTTGTACACCGACTGCTTGAAGAAGCCAGGGTCGACGACGTAGACGATGCCGTCGATCGTGAGCGAGGTCTCCGCGATGTTCGTGGCAACGATCACCTTGCGCTTGCCCTCCGGAGCTGGCGGGAACACCCGCCGCTGCTGCTGCATCGGCAGCGAAGAGTACAACGGCAGCACCATGAGGTCACCCCTCTCGCCGAACTCGTGCTCGAGCTGGGCACAGGCCGTCTCTATCTCCTCCTCGCCACACAGGAACAATAGGATGTCCCCCGGACCCTCATTCACGTGGATGAGCGAACAGGTCTCGACGGCAGTTTCGACATAGTCCTTCTGCGGCTTTAGCGAGAAAAACGTTTCCACCGAAAACATGCGGCCGGGCACTCGAAGAAGGGGGGCGCTGTCCCAATACTCCTGGAACTTCTCGGCCTCGAGCGTGGCCGACATCACCAGGCAACGGAGGTCCGATCGCTTTACGAGGACTTCCTTCAGCAGCCCAAAGAGAATGTCGGTGGACAGCGTCCGCTCGTGCGCTTCGTCCAGGACCACCACAGAATAGTTGCTCATCATCGGGTCCGACATGCACTCGCGCAAGAGCATCCCGTCCGTCATGTACTTGAGAACTGTCTTGTCGCTCGTAACGTCCTCGAACCGAATGAGGTAGCCCACCTCCTGACCGAGCTCGACGTCCATCTCCTGCGCCACGCGGGACGCCACGCTCATCGCCGCCACGCGGCGCGGCTGCGTGACCGCGATAGCCTTGCCGCCACTAGCGTAGCCCGCCTCTAGCAAAAACTGTGGCACCTGCGTGGTCTTCCCACTGCCAGTCTCGCCAATGAGCACGGAACTCTGGCTCTCCGCAACCATGCGCACGGCTTCCTCCCGCAGGGCCCAGCATGGCAGCTTGGCGCGCTTCTCCAGGATCTCAAAAAACCTCAAAGAACGCTGCATACTTAGCAACTTTGGGAGGTCCGCACGGATTTCCTGGATCCGCACCAGGCCTCCCTCCTGGCGCGCGGAGCGCGCCAGGGGCGGCGCAGGAGGCGCCGACTGGGGGGGGGGGCCGAACGCCTATCCAAGAAATCAGCGCTGAGCGCCGAAAGTTGACACTCACACTATTTTGGGTGTTTCGAGAACCGCTTGGAGTACGGCTGGCCCGTCAGGCTGCTCTTGCGAATCGACGACGAACAAATCTAGGACACTGAATCGATTACCAAACGCAATCGACGCTAAATCTCCCATACTCCACAAACGACCAGACTCTGATCGACGCTAGTGCGCTCTCAAAGCGCGAGTACGAGGGCACACGAGGCCCTCATGATTTCACGAGAGGAACCGCTTGGAGTAGGGCTGGCCCGTCAGGCTGCTCTTGTCCCCGGGCCTCGGCACCTCGTGCACCGCCTTCTTGCCGGCGCCGCCCTTCCTCCCGGGGCTTCGGCTCCGCCGCCTCTTCTCCATCCTATGCGCGTGGGCCCGGCCGCAGGGGAGCAGTGGCGGCCGCCCGCGGCGAGGTTGGCCCAGCGCCCCCTGCCTCCTGCGCCCCTACCCGAACGGCTATCAGGACACACACACACACACTTTTTTGGCGTCGGCGGCTAGGAGGAGCGACTGCGCTGGACGCGGCCTCGCGCGCAGCGTCGAGGTCGGAGGGCCAAAGCGGGAGACGCGCGAGGCCGGCCCGACACACACAGACACACAAACAGACAAACAGAAACAGACACACACGCGTGCACACACAACAGACATACACACACGCGCACACACACGCACACACACACACACACACACTTACACTTTTGGGCGTCGCGGTCACGCGCGCGGCGGCGCGGCGTAGAGCAGGTAAGGCGAACGAGCGGACCAGCCTCGCACACGCGCACACACACCACACACACACAAACACACACACACACGCTTTTGAACGTGCACGTGCGCAAACACGTCGAGTCGGCCCAAAACATTCGAAGCCGGGAGAAATACTGAGATGCAGCAGGATGTCGCAGGAAGCGTGAGGTAGCCACGAGAAGCGGAATGAGTCGGGATGAATCGCGACTACAAGCGGACCAGTAGACATCTCAACGTGCCTGGACAGAGGGGCAAGCACGCGGGCCTTCCCAAACTCAACAAGGCGATCCAACCAGCAGGGATTATTAGGGCGAGTCGGTGGCCAACGGAAGTCCCAATTGTGGGCGAGCCTGGGTTAATGACGGCCAACGGTATTGTAAGAATGCCCGGGCAACCAAATCAGAAAGTCTAGCCGAACCAACCAAACATCGAACGAACCTGCATACTACTCCTCATGATATTACTAGGAGGGCGACTAATAGTAACCGTGCGAGGTGCTGTTAATGCGAATGCGACCACTAACGCTCTTACTAAGGGGCACGAAAACAAATACTGATACTGGGGCTGACGCGATTATTAGAATTACCGAATGCCGAAGCATTGAAGATGCTACCGAATCTGGACTATTTTCTTGTAGGCAGTCGAAGAGCGCCAGGGAATCATATAACAGATCCTAAAGTCCAGGCGGAGACCGTGAGGGTCTAGCGAAACTACTCCCAAACGCTTTGGTGTCACTCTCAACGAATTCGGGCGCCTCCCCAAGACTCAGGCTCTCCCGGGGTGGGCGCCCTGGGGCCTGCACATGTCTTGAAGCCGACCGGGAGTTCCGAAAAAGGCCCCTTCCCCCGGAGCGCAGGCGCCCCCCCCCGACGGGCCCGCGCCCCCACCACCGCCGCCACCCCACCCAGAAACACCGAAACACCTCCAGGAGAACTTCCAGAATCCTCCCAGAGGGTTTGTGTGGGCCTCTCGCGTGGCTTTCGATCCTCTCCTGGATGCGCCGCGGCATATCCCAGACGCTCTGGAACCCTCCCAAGAGACTTCAGGTCTTTCCCCGAATCAATGAACCCTGCCAGTCCGGAGGATCAGTCACTCTTAGCATCCCCCTGGAAACCCTATGGCCTCTCAATGCATTCGGGCGCATCTCCCGGCGGGAAAGGACCCCCGAGGCAGCAGCGCTTCCCCGCGAGCGTCCGTGACCGCTCTGGCTGATCCAGCCCGCCACCGCCAGCGTAGCAACGCTTTGCGCGCTCACGGAAACCCAGCGCGGCCGCCGCCCTCTGCGGCCGGCGGGGCTACGTCATGGCGTGCTGGCCGCTGTGGGCGCTGGCAAGAAGGCAGCCGGGCCCTCGGCCGCACTCGGCGCCGACCGCGGCCGACCCCGGCTCGCGCGGGCGGGCGGCGGCCAGCGGCCGCGGCCGCGGCAGCGCATTGGGCGGGGGCGGCGCGGCTGTCGCGCTGGCCGCGCTTGCTGGGGCGGTGCGCCAGCGTGGACCGCCGCGCCCGAGGCGCGGTTTACTTCCCACCGACGCTCAATATATCTTTCATCATAGCGAAGCGGACGGCTTGGACTTGCAAAATGCGCTAGCGCGGCTGGGCCAAATTTGTACAACGCGCCAGCGCGGTCCGGGCCCGATTCGCAAAACGCGCCCGCGCGGCTGGGCCCGGAGTTGCAAGGCCCGCCTGCGCGGCTGGCCCAGCATTGCAACGCGCGCCAACGCGGACAGGCCCAGGTCTTCAATGCGCGCCGACATGGCCGGGGCACATTTTCAAAACGCCAGCGCGCGCCGCCGCGCGGACGGCGGCGCGCGCTCGGGGAGCTTTGCACTCCCCTCTAAAGAAAACGTAACACCAGAAAAAAAGTGAACTTGGAAATCCTAGCAAGGACCTCGCCGCGGGAGTCAGCATAGTTCCCCTGGCGCGGCGATTTCTCTGTTGTGGGCCACGCTGAACTTCCCACGCGCGCTCGCGCCGCGCGCGGGGAGTGCCGCGCTGCTCATCGCAGAAAACAGACACCAGAAACCACGTGATCCTGGAATTCCGAGCGGTCACCGCTAGGGGCTCACTTTGGTGCTGAAGCACACCTGGCGACTTTTCTAATTTTTGGCAGCGCAGAGCTCCTCTCGCGCGCCGCTGCGCGCGCGCGGGGGGAGCTTTGCGTCGGCCATCGTTCCAAACAGACACCAGAACCCATGCCAACTTGGGAGGCCAATCGGTACCCGCTACGGGTTCAAGTTAATTCCCGAGCCAACAGGCGACCTTTCGACCATGGACAGCACAGAACTCCCCACGCGCGCCTCGGCTAGCGCGCGCGGGGAACTCTGCGCTACACGCAATGAGAAGCATGCGCCCGGACTAACTTGGGAAGCTGAATGGTCACCGCCAAGGGCCCCCCTGGGCCACCAATCAACACGGCCACTTTCCACGTGGCAGCTTCGGTTTTCAAGCCGACGCGACGCCAGTTCGACTGTGGGCCCCTGGGCGCTGCAGCGCCCCCCGCTCGCGCGCGAGATTCTGATGGACAGATAGCACTTGCGAGCACCAAGACCCGCTGGGCGCGCGGCGGCTCTGCCCCCGCCGGCGTGGACAATGCCACTCGGGGGCGCCGGGGGCCGCCGGGCGCGCGGCGGCCCTCGAGTTATGATGTTCCAACCTACTTTAGCCTCGACCACCAGCATAAATTTCGAACACCAGAAAAGCGCCAAAAAACTCAAGGGTTTTCACGCGTCGAGCCCTGGGAGACACTCATCCGACACTGTTTCGACACTCTTTCGATACTCGTTCGACGCTCTTCCGGGTGCTCGAAATTATTTCTGGGATGTGGCCTTATGTACGATGGGGGCAACGCGCCCCTCGAGGGCCGCCAGCTGCCGCACGCGGCGGCCCTGTCCTCCTCTTCTGCGTGGAAGGAAAGCCCCGCGTGATCGCCAGGGGCCGCTGCGCGCGCAGCGGCCCTGTCCTCTCCTGCGCGGCCAATGCCACTCGGGGGGGGCCAGGAGCCGCCGCCGCCACGCGCGGCGGCTCCCGGGGGCCCCCCAGCAGCAGCGCGCGCGGCGGCCCTGCCCTATTCTGCGCGGGCGCGCACTGCTCGGAGCGCGAGAAGCCTCCGCGCGCGCGGCGGCTCTCGAAGGCCCCGCGGGCGCAGACGCATGGCCGGCGCGCCTCTCGCGAGGGTCGCGGCCCCGTCGGGGGCTCGCTCGCGGCCCCGCGGGGCGCCGGCGCACGGCGCCGCTGTGCCCAGGTTGGCGCGAATCCCCCGAACAGCGCGGCCCCGCGACGAGCTCCGCCCGCTGCCCCGTCGAACGCTGACGCTGGACCTCCCCTGAAACCTTAGGGGGCGGAATGCTTCTCAAGCGAAAACCCCGCCCGCCCGGGGCCCGGGCGGCAGGCGTCGTCGCGCGCGGCGGGGGCCCGACGGACGCGCGGGGGCGATCTCTCGACGATCTCCCAAGGCTGCGGCTGCGAACGGGCCCTTTTCCACCACTTTTCTCAAAGTACGTTTAGCTTTCATCCGGGCCCCCTCTTCCCCGCGATCGCCGCGGCGTTGGCCGCCGCGTCGACCGCCGCCGCGAGAGACGCGGGCAGCTGGGCCGGCGAGATGGGCGGGCACTAACCGCCCAAGATTAGGAGCTCGACGACGCGGCGCCCGCGCGAGCGCAAGGGGGCCGAAGCCTCGCCGATGGGCGCCGCGCGGCCCCCGAGGCCGGGGGCCGCCATCCCCCGCGCGTGGAAATCGATCTCGTAGCCGTGGGCCTTCAGGGCGGGCTCGAACTGCATCGCCTCCGAGCGTCCGATCAGAGCCAGGGCGGCCGCGGTGCCGACCAGCGCGCGGGCCAGTAGCAGGGATTGAATGAAGCCCCTCGCCCCATCTGCCTGGTTCTTCTCAAGAACAATCCTGCCCGCCTCGGGGGGGCAGGGGGTCTTACCGTCGCCCGCCAGGGGCCGCGCTCGCCACAAGTGGCGGGGCCCGTCTGCCGTCCGAAACCCTCTCGCCATGCTTGCAGAATCCAAGCCGCGCCAGCCCACCCGCCTTGCGGCGGTCGAGGAAGTCTCGACCCGCATTCTTGGCCAGCGTCAACTTGCGAGACTCGACGCACCCACGCCTCTCTTCAGCTACCGCCGCGAACGCCTCCAGCGCCTCATGCTCGCACGCGTCGCGCCCGCGCTCTTCCATCGCCGCCGGGACGGCCCGCGCGCCCATCTCTGGCAGCCCCGCCCCGTCGTCGCCGCAGTCGCACGGCTCAGGGGCCGGGGGCGCGCATGCGGACTGGTCCGCCATCGCGCCCACGAAAGCCTTTGCGGCGGGCTGCGGCGGCGCTGGCAGCACCCTCTTCTCGGCCACGTCAAACCACAGGAGAGCCGTCCGAGTGCTGGCGGAGTCGGCGCGGCTGCCACGAGAGCGTGCAAGTGCATCTTGCTCTGAGCTGAGAGGTTCTCGCCTTCTCCGGAGCACCTGGCGCGAACGTTGTCGGGCAACGTCAGACCTCGAACCTCGGCGACAACAAATTGGCTGTCAGGTCCTAGCACATAGTCCGTGATCGTCTCGCCCCGCTGTCTCATGTAGTCGAACAGCGGGTGGCTGTGCGACGTGCGATCGTAGTCGCCTGGCCTCTATCCGTTGAGCACGCGCATGTGGGCCAAGAGGGTATCTGTGCCATCCTGCTGGGCGAGCAGGGCTCGAACTGTTTTGAAATTCGAGTGGATGTCGGCAGGG